GACACACCACACAGACATCAAAGTAGTAGCATCTGGGCCAAAAAGTTGTGCTTGAACACAGTGCAAAGTCTACAGCCTTTGGCCAACTAGCACCTACGTTCTGTGCCTGCGTGAGAGAAAATAACTCTCCATACCAGCAAATTGGTGCTGATTTGGTAATAATGTACCAGTGAGGTAACCTCGATTCAGAAATATGTAATGTAATTACAAAATTGTTTACCATTTAAATAACAGTAGAAGTAAAATATTAAAATTAAAAGCAGCATTCAGCAATTTAAAAGGGAACTGCATATTTATTAGTTATATAAAATGTATATATATTTTTTTTAATTAACAGAAGTGATGAATAACTTACCAGTTTGCTTTGACCTGAAATAATCATTGTCCCCCTAAATGCCCATACACACCACACAGACATCAAAGTAGTAGCATCTGGGCCAAAAAGTTGTGCTTGAACACAGTGCAAAGTCTACAGCCTTTGGCCAACTAGCACCTACGTTCTGTGCCTGCGTGAGAGAAAATAACTCTCCATACCAGCAGGTGGCAGCAGTTTGTATTCGTGAAAACTGGAAGAGTTAAAACTGGATGTAAAAACCTTAAAGCTGCACCTGCTCACCATTTTCAAACCAAAGATGAAAAATGAGAAGAGCTCTTGACTTTTGTTACTTCTGTTTTTCTTCTCGTATACTGGTTCACTAAACTGAACAGCCAATCAGAGTGTTCTGAACCTCAGCAACAGGTTAACGTGCCAACAGTGTAAAACTCGATGCAAAAAATAGTAAAGATGCTCAACTAGTGTTCATCACGCAAAAAAAACATAAAAGTAGATTGTACGTTAACATGTTGCTAAGCTAACAAAGAGCAAGCGCACAAGTATTGGGTGCAGGTTTAATTGGATTGATTACGTCTTTAATTGATTTTCCGTACATTTCGGCCATATGTACATTAACTGACAGTCACAACTGATAATCTACTACTAAATATATTGTAGAAACTAAATTTTCGGTAAAGTTGCTTTGCAACGATTTGTATCATGAAAAGCGCTATACAAATAAACTTGAATTTACAGAGCAACTAATCTGAACAACCCTTCATGCACAGCAACTCCCACAAGCGCTCATGACGTGAAACGCATAAAAGACAATTATTATTTTTTTTGCTAGTGTAAACTGGTCTGTAGGAGTTCTTGTATGAAGTCTAAACCCTAGGTCTTCAACCCTGCACCAACTGTCCAGCAGAGTACAGCTACAACCCTAATCAAACACCTGAAGCATCTAATCAGTCTTCAGGATTGCTTGAAAAATCGCAGGCTAGGTGAGCTGAAGCAGGTTGGAAATAAACTTTGCAGGACAGTGGGTCCCTAGTGGCAGGGTTGAAGACCTAGGGTCTAAACCAGAGGTGACCAATCCTATTCCTGGAGATCTACCTACCTGCAGAGTTCAGCTCCAACCCTGATCCAGTACACCTTTCTGTATTTATCAAGGGCTCTTGAAGATCTTACTAGCTGGTTCGGTTGCGTTTGATCAGGGTTGGAGCTGAACTCTGCAGGGAGGAAGATCTCCAGGAACATGTCTGGGCACCCCTGTCTCAACAAATATTTGCAATTATTCAGTCTTGGGGTGCATTTTCCAAAAACATCATAAGCATAATCACATTTTAGAGACCATTGGTGCCAGTGGTTTCTACGATCTACTTAAGCTTGGTCTTAGCAAGCCTTGAGAGAGTGTTTGACAGGAATATAGAAACCAGGGGAGCATGAGATCTTTCCAAAATTGATCATTACATGTGATTTCCAGACTACAGTGTGACTGCAAACTCCAAAGTGGTCGTTGTGACCGCTGGAGCCCGTCAGCAGGAGGGCGAGAGCCGCCTGAACCTCGTCCAGAGGAACGTCAACATCTTCAAGTTCATCATCCCCAACATCATCAAGTACAGCCCCAACTGCATCCTTCTGGTGGTCTCAAACCCAGGTATGTCATTCCTGGACCGACATTACGACTGAACGTCCTTTTGTGCTCAAAGGTTTCCGTTGACTTCATGTAGCAGAGACCATAAACCAATGTCGTCTTCTCTTCAGTTGACATCTTGACCTACGTGGCCTGGAAGCTGAGCGGTTTGCCCAGGAACCGTGTGATCGGCAGCGGCACAAACCTGGACTCTGCTCGTTTCCGTTACCTGATGGGAGAGAAGTTGGGCATTCACCCATCTAGCTGCCACGGTTGGGTCATTGGAGAACATGGAGACTCCAGCGGTGAGGACTGCAAAGATGATTGGGAGCAAAGAAGTGCTTCAAGAGCACAATGAACACCAATCCTTTTCTTCATAAAATGTAAATGTCCTCTTTCATTTGTAGTTCCTGTGTGGAGCGGAGTCAATGTGGCTGGAGTGTCCCTCCAGGGTCTGAACCCTGACATGGGAACAGATAAAGACAAGGAGGACTGGAAGAGCGTCCACAAGATGGTGGTTGACAGGTGAATAATTTGTAACCAACTAGACATTCATACAGTGGTTTAGAACAACATATAGAAGGGTTTTATGGAGAGAGGCCAAGGGTTAGGAGTCGTTTCTCTTCATTTGTATATGATCTCTAATAGATGTGTACACCGTGTTGCCATTAGAAAGCCTATAAATCAAGTCCTTGTGTAAATGTATTTAGTCTGGACTCGTGGTTGTTTATCTGTGTTTAACATAAATCTGGTTTGTATTGGCAGTGCATATGAGGTTATTAAGCTGAAGGGTTACACTTCCTGGGCTATTGGTATGTCTGTAGCTGACCTGTGTGAGAGCATCTTGAAGAACCTACGCAAGTGTCATCCAGTTTCAACTTTGGTCAAGGTGAGATTCTCTTGTTTATTTCTGGACGACCAGCCATATTCATTAACCAAATATTGTGAGCCATAATTTTTCTAGCATGGAGAGTCAAAACATAAATATGCACATATATAATAATAAACTCCATTCCAAAACCACCATCTAATGACTACATAGGCAACTACTTTCTATGGCAACATCCTGGTCCAAGTCCAAGTGAGGGAGTTGAGAAACTCTTCATGGACAGCAACTCCTATGCAACACAAACTTAAAGCACACAGACGAACTGACTAACGTTCAGAGTTGGTTCCAGTATTTTAACAGTTGGATCGTTAGCATGTTGCTAAGCTAACAATCTTATGTACCGAGTACCCAATCGGAACAACTTTTTGTGTGCCACAAATAATGCTCATCACGCAAAGAGCTTAAGACTTGATTAACATTCAGAGCTGGTTCCAGTACGTCTTGCGTTAGCATGTTGCTAAGCTAACAAAGCGCAAACGCACAAATATCGGGTGAAATTTTAATTGGATTGATTTAAGTACCAAGTAACTGACCTGATCAACCCTTCATGGACAGTATGTCCCACAAGTGCCACAAACGCCACAAGTGAAGCGTACAAAAGACGTGACTCATGTTCACAGTTGGTTCCAATAGATCTTATGTTAGTATGTTGCTAGCCTAACAAATTAATTCAAGTAAATCCAAGTTTTAATTGGATTGAGCTTTCTTGTGTACGAGTAACTGATCTGAACAACAACTCCCTCAAGTGCCAGAAAAAGCACTCCTCACACACAGAGCGTGAAAGACTTGATTGATGTTCACAGTTGGTTTCAACAGATCTTATATCGGTTATCGGTTTTATTTGGTTATCGGTTTTACTTTGATTAAACTGTCTTATATACCGAGTAACTGCTCTGAACAACTCTTTATGGACAAGTTACACTTTATGCAACTCACACAAGTGGCACAATTCACACTCATGACGCATAAAAGACTTGACGTTCACAGTTGGTTTCTGTAGATCTTATGTTAGCATGTTGCTAAGCTAACAAAGCAAGCACAAAAGCACACAAATTGGGTACACATGTAAGTACATACAACTAATTTATCTTCCGATGCTTCAGTACGGAATGCAATTGAGGCAGTATGCACCAACATCATTAGCGTAGCAACATGCTAACGGCAAACTATCGGAAGCCATTGCAGGTTGTTTTCAAACCAACCGAGTTTCCTTTGCAAGGTTTCATTGCACATTCTGAATTCATCAGTTCACCATTTTGGATACAATGCTTCTCAAGAGTTTGTCCCAGAGCATTTTGGGATTGAATTATCTTCAAAAGGTACATGCAGTGCTGCTTTATATTAGGCCAAAATGAGGTATCTAATAAGGATGAATAATTTAATCGGAACAGCCTGTGATGTCTAAAATTGTTGGCTAGGTGATTAGCTTGCTAATTTTGGAACAGAGCTGTTAAAAGTCTACAGAGCACCATTATCTGACACTTGTTGCATATTCACAGGGAATGCATGGTGTGAATGAAGAGGTCTTCCTCAGCGTGCCTTGCATCCTGGGTAACAGCGGCTTGACGGATGTTGTCCACATGACCCTCAAGTCAGACGAGGTGAAACAGCTGGTGAAGAGTGCTGAGACCCTGTGGGGCGTTCAGAAGGAGCTGACCCTGTGAACCGCGGTCTCCTCCAAAATGTAGCCAGTGTCACAAATGACTAACCCCGATGAGTCCTGCCTATCTCTCTCCTGACCTCATAACCTCACTGCCTGTAACCATCTGATATCTCTACGCCAGTCTCAGACCTTCAGATTGTAACGCTCCTTATTTAAGCGATTTTAGCTGCAGAGGAGAAATAGTTTATTTCTGTTGTGTTGACAAATATCATCAACCTTCGTAAAAGTTTGTGTCTGTGCGTACTATTGTATATTCAAGAAAAAAGCACTTGTGAACAAGATGATGTGCAATTTGAGGCTCTAATTTTATTCCATTCTGAGGTCAGCAGCATTCCGTACTTTTGTCCTGTGTCACGCAATTGATCATTTCAGCAAGACCAACACGTAAACCCAAAGCTACAAAATATCAGTTTTATGAAATTTCATGGTGTGTTTACATGTACAACAAAATGATAAATGTTTAAAATCAGCTTTTGAAACCTGGAAAATTGTGGTGGTGGTGTTTTTTCGTGGCAGGATTTGACATCAAATTATAAAAAGACATACGCACAATAGTCCTCATTTGTGAAACAAGCAGAACAAAAATCTGTAAATTGGTCAACTTTTCATGCATAACTTTTTGCATTGAATTGAATTCAGTGAATTACCTTAGAATTGTTGTACGTAAAATTTTTAATTTCTAAATTAAATGCAACAATTAATGCAAGAATGGTTTAGCGAATGATTTAAATTTTTCGCATTGAATTTGTTCCAACAATTGAACTTGGAACTGTTTTAAAAGAATGGTTTTATGAACAATTTTGAATTGTTACATTGAAATTATTGCAACGGTTTTACCTTAGAATGGTTTTACGAACAATTTTGAATTTCTACATTAAATGCAACGGTTAACTCAATAATGGTTTAATGAATGATTTTGAATTGTCGCATTGAATTTAAAGCAACACTTTTAACTTTTAACTGTTTTACATTTTCAGTTACATTAAATGTGACAACTAATGCAAAAATGGTATTATGAAAAATGTTGAACTGTCACATTGAATTTAATGCAACAATTTACCTTAGAATGGTTTTACGAACAATTTAGAATTTCTACATGAAATGCAACAGTTAACTTAAGAATGGTTTAACGAAGGATTTTGAATTGTTGCCTTGAATGGAATGCAACGGTTTACCTTAGATTCGTTTTTAATTTTGAGTTGTTACACTGAATGGGAGTTAACAATTTTGAAATTTTGATTGAATTGGGTTAACTTAAGAATGGTTTAACGAAGGATTTTGAATTGTTGCCTGAATGGAATGCAACGGTTTACCTTAGATTCGTTTTTAATTTGGAGTTGTTACACTGAATGGGAGTTAACAATTTTGAAATTTTGATTGAATTGAATGCAACAATTTGCATAATGTATTTACGAATGACTTTGTTCTGTACATGTTACATAACTATGGTCCATTTAACAACATGACAGAATCCAAATAACTTAACATGCAGAGAGAAATCACTTTACGAGCGGAACACTGTTTAAAGCATTTTAGCATCGTAAACATTGCAAGATTGCGCATGTAAACACATTGAATAACTTAAGTTAACTATAACTTAAGTTTTCATTTAATGAAAAACTCCCAGCCGAGTGGTGAGACACAGCGACGGTTATAGTGGTTACTTGAAGCGTGTGATTGTAGAATTGAGACACAGCTCTTGACTGAATAAACAGTGTGACTAACTACAAAAGCTGCCCATCTGTCTCTTTGTTCTGCAGAATGAATAGAAATAACAGCTGTACAGAAACAAACTGGGTTAGTGGACAATGTTGTCTAAACTGTCTGTGTCAAAAGTTTACTAGAGCATTTCAGGTGCATGAAGTTATATAGCATCAATATCAGGCCCGTCTAGAGTTCAAAACCTCAAGGTCAAATACAAGTTAGCACAATGGCACCTGCCAATTATTTATTACATGCACTGAAATGAATACATGATGCAAGGTGCTGACCATTCGCAAATCTATCATGATTTAAGATCATGTTCTTTTATTGATCTGCCCGACATAATCTACAGCCTGGTACAAATAGGAACAAATATTAGCAGATAAGGGGGTAAAGTCTCACTAAGAAATTCAACGCAAGTCTTAAAAATCTAATTCACATCCAAAAAGTGCATTAAGACAACTGACTGACATGTAACGGGTAAGAATTTTTTTAAACATTCGGAAGAATAAAGTTTAAAAAAAAAAAGTACAGTGCAACAGATTATAGCTTTTCAGTTTTCATACATTATTAGTCACAAACCAAACTTTGTGTACAGCGAAATGACATACAGTTGTAACAACGTTACAATAAATCTGGAACAGCAAATAGTTCCCAATTGCAATAAGATAAATAATAAATTCAGCAAAATAAATGTAATAAAATTGAAATATGAAACCATAAGTCGTCACTGTTCTCCGTAAGTTGGGTGAATCTCACAGAAGCTGTCAAGAAATGTCATATTTCACCCCAAAATCAAAGGGAGGAATATTAAGTAATATGCTGCATAAAGAAAACTTGCATAAAGAGTTTTTGCAATGTGATAAAGCACATTTTCCCTCAAATTCTCATTGTAAAAAAAAAAAAATTATAAAATACATTTTAAATCTCTGATTTGTTTTACTGAATTTAATTTATGCTGTTTTTAATTTAAAAAAAATTTGAATCCAAAATGAACTGGATTATTTTTATTACTGCATTACAGTATTGACTTTTTTTCTTTTTCTTATCACTTTAATTAGATATTTTGGGAGTAAATGTACTTAATCCCACCCCCCCCCTTCAAATTTTTACCTAAAATGTACTTAATATTTTACACAATTAAAAAATATATTAATAGTCCTACATGTTTTATGCAGAAAATATATATTTTATTTTGAGGTGATTTTTCCTGTGAGATTCACATAGTTATGGAGTATGACTACACTTTGAAACAGTGCATGAATGAAAACAGGAGTCGCTATCCCAAATTTTTACCTAAATGTACTTAATATTTTACACAATCTAAAAAAAATATTAATAGTCCTACATGTTTTATGCAGAAAATATATATTTTATTTTGAGGTGATTTTTCCTGTGAGATTCACATAGTTATGGAGTATGACTACACTTTGAAACAGTGCATGAATGAAAACAGGAGTCGCTATCCACATCTGAGAGCAATTTCCTCATATACTTCCTGCAGACGTCACATTTTAAAAGTTATCATTCTGTACGGTTAATAACAGTAGTATCTAAAGCCCAGTTTGCCACGAGAAGCTCAAATGAAAGAAGGAACATTGAGTCTATGACATCTTATTTACTTCTAATGCTCAGGTCTAGTTTTTCCTTTTAGCGTTCAAATATTGTACCCGATTTGCAATTGTGCCTTTTCCTAATCAAGAAAATAAAGTCAGCCGGTTACAGTAGCTAAAAAACTCTCTCATAAGTAAAATATCATAAACAGCTGAACTCCCACTGACATACCACCAAGCGATTAGATCCGAGTCTGGCTCGTGTGATCAGAGCTGGAGCGCAGGGTCAGTAAAGGTCACTGAGTCCGGCTGTCTTTCGCGCTTTCTGCATGAGCGCTCGCAGCTGGAACTGTTTTCGGGACAGCAGACGCACATGCTGAGGACAAAAACGAGACGAACAGGGATGTCAAACACAATATTGCCAAGAATAGTACAATAAATGCCAAGGTTATGCCAAAACCTGCATTGTTCTCTGAAAGAAGAGATGAACAGACCTTGAGGAAGACCTCCAGGTCGATGACTCCTCTCCTCAGGGCTTCTCCCAGGTAAAAGATGGTGTCCTCTATGGCGTTCTCCTCTGCGTACAGGTTCAGGATCTGTTTGTAGAGTGGGGCTGTTGGGATGATCACGTCGTCAATGTCATTGTTTTCCGACTGGTTCTCCATCTTCTCCAGAGCTTCGCTAAGTTCCACGTCCTTCTTCTTGAGGAGCTCGATGTTTCTGTCCACCTCAGCCTGAGGGTGCCACAAAATGTCATGTTTCTGATCTCAATGCAGAATTTGGGAAGAACAACCTATAGAGTAATTGCAAATATTCGTACCGCTTCCTGGTCCAGGCGGGACACCATGTCTTCCAGTTTCTGGTGTCCTTTCTTCAGGTCTTCCTCCGTCCTCTTCAGGGCGTCCAGCTCGGCTTGCGCTCTGTCCATCTCCTCCTTCATTCTCCAGCGCAGTTTATCGCTCACGGCTGAGATCAGCGATGCTCGGATGGTGTCCTCACCGATGGTACCATCACGACTTGGACCTGCAAGGGGAAGACAGAGACACCAATTTATTGCCACTGATTTGATTTAGGGAATTACAAGCAAAATGGTGAATTAACACAAGTTTGACAGTTTTCACAAGTTTTTGAGTAAATTTTGGTAGGGATGGCCGGCCAACATGCTGAATATGCTTGATACATTTGAGATTGTGCTGGCGTTCCTGTAGCTCAAACAATAAAGCATAACGCCAGCAACACCGAGGTCATGAGCTCAATCCCCAAGGAACGCATGAACTAATAAAATAAATACACTGAATGCAATGTAAGCTGCTTTGGATGAAAGCATCTGCTAAATATTCAAATAATATAATTTTTAGGGAACACTGAATATTGCAATCATTTTTGCAACTGCAATCACTAGTCATTAGACTAGTTTCACGATCCATCCATGTTTTGTGTCTCAAGTCTCACAAATATATTTTGTGGAAAAAATGGCAATAATTGGTAAAACTGTAGAATCACTGTCAGTTTGGTTTCACTATATCAGCTCTCAGAAATGTTCCTGGATGTCCCTAATTGGCATTTCCATGTATTAAAATGTTTTATTAAAACATGTACAGTGGGGCAAAAAAGTATTTAGTCAGCCACCAATTGTGCAAGTTCTCCCACTTAAAATATAGCAGTTTTTGTTTATAATATTTATATATTATATATTTTAATAATTTCATAAATTATGCAATTTAAAAATAGGCTACATTATTTAAAAAATCTATATTTAAAAATGTTTTCATGCATTCAAGTATATAAAATATATTTAAATCTTTAAATATAAATATACATATATATTAATATTTAAAATAAATATTTATATTTTCACTATTGTAAAAAAAATAAATAAAAGAATTTCAGTTCAAAATTATACTTCTGATTGAAAAAAAAAATTGAATAGAGCAAATACACAAATCAACATTCACACAATACGGCTACAAAATTATATGCATTTTTAGCTGTATCATCTAGCCATTTTGCAACAATTTTGTGTATGTTTTGTTATCATTAAATTATGTACCATGCATGCATAAATATATTTATTATACATTATACTGGCCAACAACTTTGCATTCACTATTGAGAAATCCCCATTGAAAAACCTATAAACACTGGTGACTAAGAAAGCATATGCAAAACAAAATGTTTTATGTTTTAATTTACAATGTTCCACTGTGATCCCCTCCCAAAATTACATAAGTTGTGCCCCTGAGAACATGGTCTGTGGTCTGTGAGCAGCTCGGCTGAAATGTGTTCATATCATCTCAGCCATACAGAGTGATTACAGACTCACACGTTCTGTATAGCACTGTAGTTAATGTCATGGTTCAAACCTAAGGATGAGAGTTCCCTGAGGACTGAGATCCTTTTGCCTCTCCTGCCACTCTAAATATACCCAGCACCCTCTCTGTCAAACAGGATGAAGTCCTCTGACCTTTACCAGCTCAGAATCTAGTTACAGGCCCAACCTTTCAGAGCAGTCCAACAAGGTCACTGTAAAGCAGGCACACAGCCAGGCTGAAGACCAGAGGGCAGGGTCACGACAGAGCAGAGGCAGATATGTGAATATGAAGTGAATATGAAGGGTGAAGTGTGTTCTACTGGGTACTTTTATGAAGCTGACATTAACATGCTGTGTCATGTCATTCAGGGTAATCTGTGTCTTGTCCAATATGCTTTCTTATTTTAGATCTAGACTCTCAAGACTGCAATACACTCCCAATTCAGATTATCTCCAATTCAGACAGAATGTTGGTAATCCAGATTAACTCATATTCTCACCAAAAGATGCCAATTCATATGAACTCACATAAAGATTGAATGCTGCTTATTCAAATTCAGAGTAAAGGCCACCGATTCACATTCACCCAAATTCAGAATAAATGCTGCCAATTCTAATTAATTCAGATTCAAACTGAATGATTCAGTGTTGTATATTCAGGCATAATGTTTGTTAATTTAGATTAACACAGATTCGGATTGAATGTTGCTAATTCAAGTGAATTCAGATTTGAACTGAATGCTACTAATTCAATTCCGCTCTGATTCATATTCAGTGTTGCCAATTCAGATCAACTAAGATTTAGACAGAATATTGCTAATTAAATGGGTCATATGATGCTGCTAAAAATAACTTTATTTTGTGTATCTGGTGTAATGAAATGGGTTTATGCGGTTTAAGGTTAAAAAAAACACATTATTTTCCACATACTGTACATTATTGTTTCTCCTCTATGCCCCGACTTTCTGAAATGCGTCGATTTTTACAAAGCTCATCGGTCTGAAAAGCGAGGTGTGCTGTGATTGGCCAGCTATCCAGTGCGTTGTGATTGGCCGAATACCTCAAGCGTGTGACGCAAATGTTACGCCCCTTACCATACTGTGATGCCGTGACCGGCCGGACCGTAACATAAAACCATGTCTGCATTTGTGATCGGAGAAATTACAAACAACAAGCGCTACTCTACACTGCTCAAAACTCGCGTTTGAATCATCAGTGGCAAATTCCTTAAATATTAAAAAAAACACACTTACGGTCTGTGAGTCAGAACAGCCGGCATTGTAGTCTACTCTCCCAGGAAACAGTCCTCCATAAAATGCGCTGGACACATCTGAATATTTGGGTTGAACTGTTCTGGAACAGTGTTGTAAATACAACTTAACCACTGATTTCTAGTCGTGTCCTCTTTTGGAAGACCAAACAAAGTAGTTTCGCTTTCACAACGAAAAAGTGTCACACACCGCGGCCTTAAGTGAGCGGAGGCCGGAGGCCTAGAGTATGCGGCGGCCGGCTTGAGTGAGCAGAGGCGCGGGTTTGAGAACGGCGCGGCCGCCGGGCTTGCGGCAACCACATGTGACAGCCCCAGGCTGGACTCCGCTTCGTCCACGGTGAAAGCCGATCCAGCGATCCACAGCGCAAAGTTGTCGGTGAAAGCCGATCCGGCGATCCACAGCGCAAAGTTGTAGTATTTCCTCAGCGACCAGCACGGATCAGCTCCAGGCATGAAGCAGCAGATATCGTCCTCTTTTGGAAGGCCAACCAAAGTAGTTTCGCTTTCACAACGAAGCACACAGTGCCTTCAAGACATGGCAGCAGCAACAACAATACTACAGTGAGAATAAAAGTTACGCCTTCTTTCCTTGCGTGAACATTTGGGCGGCGTTATGTAAATTTTCCCACATCGTGACGTAGGTATGTGGGGGCGTGTTAGAACGAGCTGTTTTAGGTAGGTGTGGTTGACTCTTAACTTTTAAAAAGAATATCTCTTTGGATTTGAGACTTTAGTCTTTGCAACTTTAGAGATCTTCTTTATGCACCAAGAGCTTGTAACACTCCAAAGAGAAAGGAAAAATTGAAATCGCATCATATGACCCCTTTAAAATTGACTCATATTCATATTCAATGCAGCAAATTTAGATGAATTCATATTCAGATTGACTGTTCCCAGTAAATTTGAGTAAATGCTACAAATTTAGATTAACTCAGGTTCAGACTGAATTTTTCCAATTCAAATGACTTCAGATTTAAACTGAATTCAACCAGTTTAGCTCTGATTCAGTGTTGCCAGTTCAGATCAACTCATATTCATACTGAAAGTTACTCATTTAAATTCAGTGTAGTGGTTATAAATTCAGATTAACAAAGATTCAGATGTTGCCAATTAAAATGAATTCAGATTCAAACTGAATGCTACCAATTCAATTCAGCTTTGATTCATATTCAGTGCTGGTGATTCAGATAGAATGTTGCTAATTAAGACTGACTTACATACTGAATGCAGCAAATTTAGATGAACTCAGACTCAGACTGATTGCTGTGAATATAAAATCAGATTAAATGCTAAAAATGTAGATGAACTCCGGTTCAGATTGAATGTTGCCCATTCAAATTAATTCAGATTCAAACTGAATGCTACTATTTCAGTTCAGCTCTGATTCAGTGTTGCCAGTTCAGATCAACTCATATTCATACTGAATGTTGCTCATTTAAATTCAGAGTAAATGCTACAAATGTAGGATAACTCAGGTTCAGCTTGAATGTTGCCAAATCAAATGAATTCAGATGCAAACTGAATGCTAACAATTGCTCTGATTCCAATTCAGTTTTGTCAATTCAGATTAAGACATTACATTAAGACATCATGTTTGTTAATTTAGATTATCCATACTGAATGCAGTCAATTTAGATCAACTTGAATTGTTGGCAATTCAAATGAATTCAAATTCAAAATTAATTCTAGCAGTTCAGTTTAACTGTGGCTAAGATTAAGTGTTGCTGATTCAGATAAACTTAGAATGCTTTTAATTCAGATTAACTTATTTTATATTAATATTAAATCTAACAAATTTATATTAACAGTAACACTAATTAATCAAAATTAGTTAATTCTAAATCAAATTTAGAGTTAATGCTACCAATTCAGATTAATGCAGATTTACAATGAATGCTAGCAGTCTGGTTGAACTGTGATTCAAATTCAGTGTTACCAATTCAGATGAATACATATTCTGAGTGAATGTTGCCAGTTCAAATGAATTCAGAATCAACTTCAGTTCAGCTACTTCATAATTCAGATTAACCCAGGTTCACATTTAATGACTCAGATTCAAACTGAGTACTGCCAATTCAGATCTACCCTTTTTCAAACTCAGTGTTGCCACTTCAAGTGAACTCGGACACGGATGAACTCAGATTTAGACAGAACATTGCAAATTCACATCAATACAGATGCAGATTCAATTTTGCCATTTCAAATGGAAAGAGGGCTAAGAACAAATCTGAAAAATGACATCTGAAGACTACAACCTGAAACTGAAACTTGAATCCACATAGCTTATTCCAGGATTACTGAGATTTGCAGTATGATTTTGTGCTGTGTTCGATACAACGATGTATTGTCACAGAGATTTGACGATACGAGTGTCAATACAGCTGGCCCTGTATAGATATTGTGGCACGTGCGCTGCAGTGGACTGCGCTTAATTTGAATACA